CGGCCATCCCACAACTTCCCTTTGTAAACAATCCCAAAGCTCCCGGCACCGATCTTGTTCTCTGGTGAGAAATCGTTGGTAGCAGCAGCAAGCACGGCCAAGCTGAACTCCTCTGCTCTATCGGCATGTTTGGATGATGTTCCACTTCTCTGTCGCTTCATTGCTCTTGAGCTATTGCGTTGGATCGAAAATGACCTAGACGAAAGACTGTTGTTCGATCCTGGACCACCATTGGAACCAGTTCTAGTGATTGTTGGCTGAACTGAGTTATGAACTTTCTTTCTCCCACAACAAACCCCAGTCCATAGACAGTAAATAATACTACAAATCCCCATAAAACCTCCAGCTGATCCAACTATTACAAAAGCTAATAACCTTCCTCTGAAGGGAGAGGACTGCTTCGAAACACCCGAAGGTGGAGCCGCTGCCGGTACCGGTGGCAATGGATAGGTAAAATTGAAACAAGGTGAAGGCCTACAAATGTTACCAGTGCCAAAACAAAGCCTACTTGATTGAGGATATAATCCACACTCGCTACAAGAAGATTGGACGCAAGGCCCTGGTAAAATCTCAGCTCCCAAAGGTAACTCATTTGCAGAAGCATTGTTCCCAGGCCACCCTGGACCCCAACAAACGACTGAAAAATTCCTAGTGGTTAATCCACAAGTAAAATTTAAACCTGAAACAATGGATTCCAATTGGATTCCTTCAACAGGAGTCTCGTTTATGGAACCCCAACAAACAACTGTGCCATTCGATCTCCTTATTGCACAACTAAAACCTTCACCAAGAGCCAACCCAGAAGCAAAGTTTAAACCTTTGTTCGAAGGAACGTTTAATTGACCCTTTGAGTTATCTCCTTTACAGACTAAATCTCCAACTGAGTTCACTCCACAAACATGGGAAAACCCAGCTTCGATATTAGAAACTGATAAGTTCCCAAATTGTTCTTCAATGTCTTTCCCTACTGAGTTACGTCCCCAACAAGTCACCCTGTTATTTTCACTCAAAACAATCCCACATGAAAACCCAAACCCGGATGTGATTTTACCCATGGTGTGATTACCGGTGGGTAGTTCATCGGTGATATTTTGGTCATTTTCGATGGGTCTCCAGCAGGACACAGATGGCGTCGTATTCGTCGTCGCGCAAATCTTCTCGCCGCCGATGGAGAGGGATTGTAGCAAAATGGTGTTGTTATAGTACAGGCGTTTCGCGGAAAAATTTGGGGCGTTTGTTTCCCAGCAGAGGAGGGCGTAACCGCCGGAACGTAGGGCGCAAATGCTTGTTTGGCCACCGGCGACGGTGGTGTAAGAGACGTTAGGGAGGATGGAGACGGCGAATGAGGAAGCGTTTCCGGGGCGGTGGCAGATAATGCGTTGATCCGTCTCGGCGGCTATGATGGCGCATACGGTGGCGGTGGCGTAGGCGATGGCGAACGTTGAGCCAGAACCCAAAGCATGGATTAACGGCGGGAAGAAGATAACGGGATAGAAACTAACGGCTGAAAGAAAAAGGAAGTATGGTTTCTTCATTTAAAAAAGGTCGAGCTTGACGGCGGAAAGGGTGGCGGTTCCGTCCGTCAGCTTCATTTGGCGAGAGAAGAAAGAAATAGTTTGAAAAAGTGGGACTTTCAGGTTTTTTAGAGCGTTTTAGGAAACAAGGCCGTGTTTGGGACTAGACGAAATTAAATTAAGACAAAAAAGCATAATAAAAGTCCATGTCCTTTTTGAAAAAAATCAATGTTGCCCTCGTATTATTTTTCTCTCTCAACGTAATCATCTAACTCGGAAAACAAATATAATGTTGTCATTTGATCAATGTTTTTTCATTGTTGACCGTTATGGTGTTGGCGTGACAGTTCACAGTACTAATATGATAATAAACGATATTGACATGACAGTCCATCTGTCATGTTTGAGTTATCAATTTAATCTATTTGTCATGTCATACGTCACGCTATCAACAACTATAGACTGCTACGTCAGTACATTAAAATGTCATATCAACACTGTAATGGCCAACAATGAAAAATATTGGTTAAATGACCACATTGAGTTTATTTTATGAGTTGGAGGACCACATTAACAGAAAAAATAATATAGGTACTATATTAGTTTTTTTCAAAAGTATAGGGACCTTTAATGTATTTTTGCCTTAAATTAATGAAAACATAATTGCCAAAACTTTTAATAAATTTTAAGATTTTATTAGAATAAGTAAAGATTTTCTATTTTAGTTTTCTTTAGGTGTTTTTTTATTAAAAACATTAGGATAATTTATTAGAAAATAAAAATAGTAATAAAAGTTTCAGGAAAAGGAAACCCAAACATAAATGAAAATCATTCAAAAATTAACAATAAATTTAAAAGTAAATAGAATTTATCAAATAATTTTAGTGATAAAAGGTTGTAATTTTTTTAAAAAAAATAAGTTTAAATAATAATCTCATCATAATATATGTGATTAGAAATAGAATTCTAATTAGTATTCAAAGTAATTCTAAAGTCAAGATTGATATTACTCTCTAATATTTAGTATTAGAAATTATTATATTTTTATAGATAAAAATTTAAATATTTAAATATATTATTTATTTTATTCTTTAATATCTTTATTTAATTTATATAGTTTTTTCAGCTTCAACGTTATTAGTTTAATCATTAAAATTTTATTATATCTTTTTGTTCCTTAAATTTTTATTTTTTGTATCAAATTGATTTAAATGTGACGAAATAGAAATCAATCATTGAATTAAAATATTCAATAAAAATAAAGTAATTATTTTTTATTTGTTTCAATATTTTAATAATATTGTAAAAAAAATAAAATATTTAACATCAGTTTCATGACATTTGTTATATTTGAGTAAATTTGGTATAGTGAGATTAGACATTAGGTCCCTTAAGCAAGGTCAGGGGTTCGAATCATGACGTTTGCGAATGGAGCAAAACTGGGTTGGGAGGGTTGCCCTCGTCTCTGCAATACCTGATCTGGATTAGTCGATCAATAGATCGGATACAAGTGATTAATTCAAAAAAAATTAAGAAATAAAATACAAATTGGTAGAATTGGTGAAAAATATTTTTACCTTTTAATTTTTATTATATTTATTAATATATGCTTTTAAAGAGTTTTAATATTCAATGGATAAATTAATCAGAATTTAAATTCAAAATTTGTAAAAAAATACATATATTTATAATCATAATCGCCGTTAAGTTAGACAAGGCCATGATCAGAAATCAGAATGTTGAAGAAAAAATACAAGCAAGTTGATATATCTGTTGGTGGCTACTGCAATGAGAATATTTCTCATGAAAAGTAGAGTTTAGACCAAAATAAACGATTAGATTATTCCTTTAAAAATAAAACATGTCTATCATTGATATAATAATTAATGATCCTCTTTCTCAATAGTATTTATATTATTATTTAAAAATATAATTTAGTATTCTCGATAAATTGATTTTCAATTTTATAATCAATAACAAATGTTATTATAAAAATATTTTTATTTTTTTATATTATTAAATAAAAACTAAAAATAATTACATAAAAATTAAATATATTACAAGATATAATCGTACATGGATGCTAAAGTAGAAGTAGTTGAAAAAAGCGGAAGAGGAGAATGTTGTGTTTAGAATGTTGAATTATAGTATGTATATATAATAATTAAGTTGATCCACTTAGCTTTCCTCGTGGACTAGATGTCATGATTTTTACGCACAGAAAATGAAGTTATTATGATTTGACGTGAAACATGGGGATTTTTGGAGAACAGAATGACGTCACCTTTAGTCAAGGCAAGCCAAGGATCTTTAACACAGAAGTTTGATATCAACGGACAGAGATTTAAATTACGGTTAAAAATAGGAGTCTAAAATTTTAATTTTAGTTTATTAAAATTCTTAATTTAACTACTTTTCCAAAATAATAGGGATATACTTGATCCCTATGGGGGCTTAGTGCATCCGCTACTGTTACGATCGGACAATTAAATAAATTATTATATATTGATAGTGGCTCGATAGTGGTGGTGTTTTAGGGTTATGTCCACAATAATCATAATAACATCGGTTATGTCCACAAATGTGATAAACGTAATGTGATTGAAAATACGACCACATCTGCCGTTTAAAAACCAATATTGAATAATTGATTTGTGATTGATATCATCATCTATAAAAAGATAAAAGGGAGTTCATTTGACATACAGATTCTCCATTTAAAAACGTATGATCAATGAAAACATTATGGAATTTTATTCGGTACTTACCATACCTACCCACAAATGGTAAATTATTAAGATTCGATTATGTATATAAGTTTACTGGTAAGAGACATACAAGTATTATTTAAGTCATTATTATGTATAATTATTCATATACATTATGAAAGTGGTAAGTAATTGTTGGGAAATGGAAAGAAGGGAAGAAATTGAGAGTTTAAGAGGCATGATGAATTAAGTTGACCAAAAAGCATAACATTATATTGTTTTTTTGAGTATGAAAGAAGGTAGCCAAATGCAGTGAGCAATTGATGATACAAGGGGCCCCTAACCCTCTTAAAAGGTAATCATAGTTATTTCACCAAGCTTACACCATTGATTTTAGGTAATAAATTCCAAACAAGCATTCACCTTCCACTTAATTCATTCTTTACACTGCAATCAATGGCAGTGGCAGTGCAGGTCAATGCTAATTTGGTGGCTTCGGGTCCTACCCTATCCAATTAAACAACAAGAGTTCGTATCTTTGAGTTAATTGTATTTGCTTCCACCAGTTATCCAGTGCCATGTGTTGCATTATGGACTGTTGTCTAAGCAAAGCATGAGTGATGGTTGGATCCCACGTGTATGTGTGATCCGCGAGCTGACTCACCTATTGCATGAGCATGTGAGAATCTTATCAGTAAACTTATTTTGAAAGAAAACATGTTATTCTTTTGTGCTAAAACATATTTTGTAGAAAGTAGTAGTATTGAAATCAACATGGTAAATGATGTGTGAACTACAAATAATCATTGATTGACAACAAATTTACAAATTTCCGAAAGATGCATAAACACCCAATAGAATCGCAGAGCTTGTATACAAAGTTACAAACAAGAATCAAGAATTCTTGGCACATATTCATCTTAATACATAGAGGTTTTACCTAATCAAATAAGCGATATCATCACATTCTTCGTTTTCCAGGTCTCTGGAGGCATTCATTGGCACTTGGCAACTCTAGAATTCGGATGCTATACAAAGGTCATGAATGATACAACAAGATGCTGCCTTTCGATGATAGAGAATTGCACAAAAAGTACCGAGAAGGATCAAAGGTGTGCCAACGATCTTTTCCCTACATTGACCAACTAGAAGAGGGGATACCTTGCTTTTGAAACCATTCCGGCATTCAGAACCTGTCGTAAAGAACTGGTCTCACGTCTCTTTGCTGAGAAAGGTGCTTGAGAAGTGGAAGGATGACATCCAGAAGCTTTTCAACATAAAACCAGATGTCAAAGTTGTAAGTAAACAGACATCAATACAAATTGATATCACAAGAGAGTAACCACTTTAGCGTAATGCAAATCGTGATGGTACCTGTGTATCATGTGGCTGCCCTGCAGAAAACGGGATGCAGGGAATCCCATTTACCGGTTGCAAGAGGAAACTGAAAGGATTGTTATCAACAATAACGGTTCGACATAAATCTGTAGATAGGCAGGAGAGGTCTTTCACATGCTCCCGATACTCCCTGTTTATGTCAAATGGAAAAACATTACTAAACGAAACAACAAAATCTTCAGTGGAACTTGACACGTAATCACCAACAAGACGTATGCTTATGCATTTTGGGAGCACAAATTTGCCCTAAAACATCTAAAGCTTTTCTTGGATAAATTGTATGTATTATATCCAAAGAAAAGCAGCAAGCTATTACAAAAAACACGAGTATCTACTGAAGTCTGAAACATCTAAAGCTTGGCATAAAGCATGTTGGGAGTTTTTGGACACCTAAACTAATCCCTTTATTTGGCCAAAAGAATATAACCTTCATATTTTAGAAAGGAAATTAGACGACTTGGTAATGATTTCCTAAACTTTATCATACAAAACTGAAAAGATATTAACATCAGCACCACTTATTAATCAAAAGCACCTTAGCACATCTTAAAACGAACTCATAAAATCCTAAGCAAAACTTTACAAACATATCATTTTGGAAATTCAAGTTCACGAGAAATTTGAAGTCGACTTACATAAAGATAGCAGGAAAAAAGAGAAGGAATTTATACGAACAGGTTTTGGCCCTTATACAATATACACGGACATCCCAGGGAAAGGAGTCCCCCTTAAATATCATGACTAAGGTCAATTTAACATAGGATAGGATACACGAGCAAGCAGATAATAAGCAGTGAAATATAAAGAACCAGTATCAGTAAAATTCTAAAGGCAAGAAACGTGTAATGCAAAAGATGTAAAGGTTTCATTGATTTTACTCTACAAATGTGAGAATAGGCCAGAAATTACTTAAGGAGCATGTGGAGGAAGCACACTTACGTACTAATTGTAGAAGGCCTATAAAGTCGAAGACTAAATCGATTTTCCGCATCAATTCTGTCAACAAGTGGCCTAGCATAGCCTGTGGGCAGCCATTAAAAATAATGATATAATGCAGGAAAGAGGGTAGTGACTAGTGAGAGGAAGAAATATAAGAAGAAAATTGGGTAATAGGTTGAAAATAAAACAAAGAAAAATTATGAGCAAACCTTCAAGGCCAGCAGTAAATAGTACAAGCTCAGCAAATTCACTTAGTTGATTTAGAAAATCTTGCAAGCCCGGGCGCTCAAACACTGTAACGTAAGTGACCTCAGGCTTCCCTTCACATTCCTTCATAGACCAAAGCACCCAAATGAGAACCGACATCTTTAAAATAAAAATTCAATTATTATTCATAACATACCTTGTCCGAAGATACACATTCCAACTCAAAACACTTCACTCCAACATCTGTTGCTTGATTACGAAGGGAAGGTGGCAGACTAGATGTCTCATATGCACAAACTAGAGTTTCATCCAAGTCAAGAACTACCTGCAGGCGCATGAATCAGACCTAAATAGAACTCCGCAACAATAATACACCAAACACACAATAAAAATATTCATGATACACCTTACTTCGCTTTACAGTTGCACCTGTTTTCAAACCTTACTTCTCATATGTGAATATAATTTTAAACAAGCTAAACCTTCACAAGTTGCATATAAAAATTTAAAAACTTACACAAACATTCTAAGTTATTTAGTTAACCTGAACTTTAATTAAATCAAGTTTGAATCATTTGGTACTCGACTAAAACAATTTTTTCTATATCTATAGAAATATAAAAGGGTTGGGCTATTTGCTCGGTTCATATTTTACCAGGTTTAGATGAAGATTTTTTATTTTGTTTTATAGTTTCACCGGTTTTCATACCTTACCTTAAAAGTAATAAAAGTTAGCATCTTTATCGGCGCTCATGGGCTAGAGAAACATCCCAAAATTTGGCACAAGATACACTTAAATAAGTTGTAGGCCTACACCTGATATATTTTTGTTATTAACTTTCCATTTATTTGATTCAATTCCCAAATTTGACTGGTATACTAATGTTAATCAGGCTCTTTATTTTCCTGAGGCATGTGTGCTAGACATTTATGTAAACAAATTCAGGCATGGGTACAAGGTATGATGTTACAAATATTCAAAAATCCTTTCAAACACCGAGTATACCGACATATTCATGCTCGAATTTGGCACTCGCCCAGGTCCGGATAAGGCAGTTGACATATACGAATAAATTACAAATTATGGACCCGACTGAACTGACTCAAGTGTACTCCGGTTTGGTTTTCTGTTTCTTATATTTCTGCATCTCCCAAAGTAATAGTAATAATCTAAAAAATTAATTGCTTAAGTTCCCTTTTTATTTTTATAATGCTTAAATGAGTTAAATTAAGTAGAACTATGAGTCTAAGTGCAAGACAATGTTATAGTTAAGGAAGCAACTTAAGCTCAAATGCTCAACAAAGCCAACTATTTTTCTAACAAATTTGAGGCTTCTATTTTTTTTTACTACAGGAAAACTTAAAATAATAGGGCATTTATTCTGAAACAAATTTTAGAAAATAATACAGGGGAAACGGGGATTTTTTTTTGGGGGGGGGGACTACCGTGAGCTTTTTGACGCGGTCTTCATCAGTGGGAACAGGAGAGTCCAAAACGGCAGCGATCTCGACCGTAGCGGGAGACTCGATTGCAGTCGAGTCACCCGCAGGCAAGGGCTTGAAACGGTGCGTCGAAGACGAAGGCAAAGGATACTGACCAACGGCACTGATGATCTGCGCAAAGATCTGATAGAAAAAAGTCAGCCAAATCAAAAGCGCTCTCCATACTTGCAACGACCGAGGCGAGTACACCTCGGCCTGAGTCAACTCAGCCATTCAAACTCGACCGGTTTACGATAAGACAGGAACGGGTTTTAAAACAAACCGGAACGGTTCGTTCGATACGGCTAGCACTTAACGGATGAAATATTTCTCTTCTTTGGTTAAAAGAATTTTCTTCTCTCCTCTCTTGGGTAGGCAGTTCTATCAGAGTAGTGGCACTGATTCGAGAAAGTCCGGAGGAAACGAAAATGAAATAAAGTAGCGCTGATTTACGCGCCAAGCTAGGCGAGTGATGGCTGATTCTCCTTTATGTGGCGTTTGGTTCACAAAGGGGAAATTAGAATTCAATTACAACAATTTTTTTTTTTTTTTTATGTTTGGTTTAAATTTTCAAAGGAAATTAAAATTTCTCATAACTTCAACTTTCAATCATACGAAAAAAAGTGAATTTCATCCATTCTATGATAGAATTTAATTTCTTTGTTTGAGAGAATTGAAATTTGATCATATTATACTCATCAATATTTTGATAACTTATTTATATATTGAATAAAAATATTTTTTTATTATTTCGGATCTGGTCGGATTTCTAATTCATATATTAGGATCGGGTCGGGTGAAATTTTATTTTGGTCGGGTTGGGTCAGATTTTTAAGTGTGATATTTAGGTCGGGTCGAGTTCGGGTTTAGAGTGAAAAATACCCGATCCAACCCGACCCAAATATATATATAATTTTACCTTATATATTTATGAATAATTACAATAATACCCTTCTATATATAATTTTGTTTCAATTAAGTCATTGTTTTTATTGAATAAAAATAATTTTTTTATTATTTCGAATCAGGTCGGGTTTTTTTTAAGTGTGGTATTTGGGTCGGGTCGGGTTCGGGTTTAGGGTGAAAAATACCCTACCCGGCCCAAAAAATATATAATTTTACCTTATAAATTTAGGAATAATTACAATAATATCTCTCTATATATAATTTTTTTAAATTAAGTCACTGTTTGTATTGAATACAAATACTTTTTTTTACTATTTCGGGTCGGGTCGAGTTTTTAATTCATATATTCGGGTTGGGTCGGGTGAAACTTTATTTTGGTCGGGTCGGGTCTTGGATGGAGGTTCCCTTGTTCTCGGGTCGGGTCGGGTGGACCAAAAACCCGACCCAACCCAACCCATGACCATCTCTAATTGGGATGATTTTAACTTATGATGTTTATTAGCATGATTTTTATAATTTATTGAAATGAATAATCAATTAATAAAATTAAAATTTAATATATTTTAAATTTTTATAATATATTGCTACATGTAATTTATAAAACAAACTAAAATTAAGAAAAAAAAACAAGAAGGACAATCATGTCATTTTATATTACTGAAATAAAATTCATCTGACATGCCTGCAAACCAAACATAATATGAAATTGGATTCCAATTCAATTTCGTGCTAACCAAGCAGAATATGAAATTGGATTCTAATTTCTGACATATTCCAATTCCTTCACAGGTTTTAATTCCCTCAAAAATATTCAAACGAACCAAATGCTCTTTATTTCTATATCTCATTTGGGTGTTCCTAGGTGTTCTTCGGATTAATCACTTTGGACTTTGAAGTGCAATGGAGCCATCGTATTACGTGGCCTCATCTATACAATTTGGGTAAAATATATTTAGGTTCCTAAACTATGATCAAATATATTTTTTAATCTTCAAACTTTTAAAAAACTATAAAAAATTATCAAAGTTATTAAAATATTACAAAATGATCATCAAGTTTATTAAATTTTAATAATTATTACAACATCTTAATTATTATATAAATTACGTATATATTTTATCAAACATATCTTTTGATAATATGTTAACGATTCTCTAAAAATAGCAACTGATAAAGGAAGACATTCCCTTTATAAGATTCAAATTCATGCGGTCACGATTATAAGATATATGCACATTATTAATTAGTTAAATCTTATTTTAATGTACTATCTCATTATTGTTTTAAATTATTTATAGAATAACAAAAAAATACATAAAAGAATAACATTTATTGTAGTTTTAATTCGTCTTGTACCTTGGTTGCTACATATTTCAATCATATTGGTGATCCATTCCGGAATTTAACAAATTAAAGAGTAGTACGTTATTTTATTTATTGATTGGCTAATTCGAATCGAGTATTACAAAGGTAAAATTAATCATTCCAATACAACTTACTCCATTCATAATCATTCGGATATTTACATGTCTCATTCTAATAAACCAATTGATTGTTGATAAAAATATCGCTTCAATTGTACAAAGTTTTAATAATTTCCTATTAACTTAAAATGATTATAAAATAATAAAACTTGCAATTATTTAATAATTAATTTTTAAATATTTTTAATTTTTAACTATTAAAATTGTTAGGTTCGTACGCTTTCTAATCACCTGCTTAGATCAAAATGGACAACAAATATCACAAAATCATTTTTTTTAATAAAAAGGCATACGTCTTGTTTCATAATGGAGTCTTTTCTTTTTGGAGAATTTTTTTAATTTTTTAATCACATCATTTATATAGTGCCCACTAATTATTAAAAGTTACATGCATCTTCTTTTTCTAGGTTATTCATTTATTTATAATTAAATTTTAAATAACTAACTATTTTTATATTTATATAAAAAGATTTTATTCTTAAAATAAAACGACATATGAAAAAGGAGTAAAATAAATTATTTTTAATGGTTGCAATTATAGATGATATGATAATATTTTTTAAATTTTTTATATCACTATATATATATATATATGCTCTAAGTATATTATTTTATTGAATTATTTGATTATTGAAAGTTATAAAGTAGTCCCTCGATTATATGGTATTTATTTTTTAAATCCTCAAACTATTAAAAGTTATAAAATGATCATCCAACTAATTATATGTTTCAAAATCATCATTTTCTGATAAAAAATGATAGTGGTATGAGGTGGAAGTTAACATGTTGATTAAGATACGATAAAAATGAAACGGTTTTAGGATCAGATTTAATTATATCTCAGTTAGTTGGTTAATGTCCAGCTCAGAGTATCGATTTTGAACAAAAAAATGACGAGTTTGTAACATTTAAATACTCGAGTGACTAAAAAAAGTATCACTCTATATCAAAGTACAATTTATCTATTTAAATACTCCGATATACTTATAGTAGCCAAGGATCCACCCAACATCGCAATCACGAAAAACACCACCGCATGAAGCAGTGCCATCGCATAGGTTTCTCCCACCGTCCGAGTTTAGCTTGATTCACCTAGGGTTGGGCCGGTGCCACCTCTGCAACACAGTATTGCGGGGCACAATCAGCCTTAAGATTGACCTGGCTGCTACAGCCTCCTAGCTAGCTTGGCTGCAAATGGAGTGGAGGCGACGACTTTTCTCGACGATATAAATATGGTTCCTGCGTGAGTTTTGGAAAATCCAACTATTTCGGTTGATCCAAATATGCCATAAAAGTGTCACAAAAAGTAAATCCCAGTCCTCCATCGGTCTTATGAAATGGGAAGCATAGTAACAATCCATTTATGGAGATCCATAGTAAAAAACTCGCTTAACTTATCCGCCTGGACGAACACTGCCCATAACAGACGAATTCGGGAACAACCTCGAAACATATGATGCACGTTCTCCATATCGGCACAACATATTGAGCAATGATCATCACCCGCAAAGTGTCGAAGAAGTTTTCGTTGATTCGTCATAACCTTGTCGGTGCAAACAAGCCACAAGAAGATTTTAAACTTTTGAATCCCTCGATAAGTATGGATCACTTTCCATAGCCCATTGTCCCTTTCCACAGTCAGTTCCAATCAGATTTTATACATCGACTGAGTGGTGAATTAAAGATCCGACGATCCATTCCATCCAACCATGTCACTACGAATTATTGGGAGGGGTGCACACATTGCTGCAATACGAAGTAACAAAGCCAGAGGCAAAAAGGATTGGAAACGATCCCAATGCCAGGAACCATCCCTAGCACTCATATTCGCCACGTTAACCCGCCTAAGCAAAAGAATCAAACCTGATGGCAGATACGATATTAGAGGATCCTCCCTATGCAACCAACGATCACGCCAAAAATCAAAACTTAGATCATCCCACACACAATGAACTATGTTATCACAAACACTATCCCACACCATGTGAATCCCATTCCATGGACGGGAGCAATTAGGCCTATATAACGAAGCCGAAATTCGCTCTTGATATTTGTATTTTGCTCAGAGAAACTGAACCCATAAAGCATCCTTCTTGGCTACAAAATGAAAGGCGAGTTTCATAAGGAAATATTCATTTTGAGTGTGAAGACTACGAAAACCAAGACCAACTTGGGTAGTTGGTTTGCATAGCTCTTCTCAGAGTCAAAGGAACCCCTCTCTCATTAGACGAAACCCCCAAGCAAAGTGTCTTATTAGTCTCTCAATCTCATAGCAAATCTTTTTATGAAGCACAGCCATCTGCATAGTATAAATCGGGGTCACCGCCAAGATCGCCTTAGACGAAGTAATAAACCAGCAAAGGTGAGTGTTTTAGGAGCCCATCCAGATAATTTAGTCTGCATTATTTTAACCAAGTTATTGTAAGAGGCCGAAGTAACCCTAGCATGTAACAAGGGGACCCCCAAATGCCTCCCCAAGTCAGAAACTTCTGTAAAACCAAACAAACCACTTATGTGAGCTCCATTTCATTTTATGGAAATGTTTCCAAACATCAGCCTCAGTAGCTAACTGGATAATCAAAGCAAGTCCCTTCATACATAACACAAACAGGTACGATGAAAGAGGATCACCTTGTTGAAATGCCCTTGAAGGAGGTAAACGACTCAGATTGATCCCATTCCATAAGATTTGTGTTATCACCGAAGATACATATTGCATAATCAACGTTCGTAGTTGGATAGACACCCCAATATCAACAAGTGTATCAACAATAAACTCACATTCAAGAGGATCATAAGACTTCTCCAAATCGATCTTTATTGCCATACAACCACATTTTTTAGATTTTCTCCCCCATAGAATGGATTACATACTGGGTAATGATAATATTATTTGTTGAACCAACTTTTGATTTTGATATAACATGAATTTTTAAATGATTTAAGTTTTAAAATTTGTATTTCACAATTTTATAAATAATTTGTCAAAAACGATTTTAAAGTGTGA